CCTACACATAAGTAGAGACCATTCCAGATACTCAGACTTAGCCTTCCATCATCAGCACAATTTGTGTGGAAGTAAATTGAGCAGGAACCAGAAAACCCGCGCCCTCTGTCACCGGCGCTTGAAACTTACGACTGAAACTTATTTTTTCTCCAGAATGCTGCTTTTTAACAACGGCTGATTCTCTCTTTGGAGTGAAGCACTGACGTTTCACTCACAGCATCCCTCTGGACTCCTGGAGCCTGGCCATCACGTACCATGCCTAGTAGAAGGCAGCGTACGGGGCCCAAGCTGTTTCTCTCCTGGATCTTCTCTTTCTACTTAGTGGCCACAAAGGACATGAGACAATGTACTTCAGGGTACTCACTACGTATCTCAGGTGAGTGAAATAACTCCACCCTCACTCTCACGCCTTCAGACAGTACGGGACACAGGAACAGCGTGCCCCAACCTCGCTGCCGAAGTACGACGTACAGATGACAAGCTGTGCCGTGCCCAGTGCTTGCGCTGCTAGGGGCAACGCTTACCACCCGCCGCTGTCCCCGGGCAAGAAAACTAGCATGGGCGAGTGGACTAGGGTGCTAGGAAGAGGTGTACAAGTTTTATTTTTAAACATCACTGGGCTGAAAAAGAGAGGGTCATATGGCTTATTTATAATTTCAGGAGATGGTAGTGAATAAGTTAAAGACTCTTTCATCCCAAAACCGTACGTTGCTTTCATTTATAGCAAAGCTAATGGACACATGTTTTCTTATTTCCATAAATGTCAAGCACCCACCTTTTTCCCTCCCCACAAAGATTTACAAGTACGTGCATGGCCCTCCCTACAAAGCTGTTGTGGGCTAAAGGCGTACCTATAATGATTTTCTTTTTTTGGAGTAAGAAATATTAATCAGACCAAAATATAATCATTTAAATCAACTTCTTCCTGAGCAACTTAGAATTTGGAATGTGCTGAAAAGATTCAATAAATAAGGCAAAGATTAACCAGCTTAAAATGTACCTTTTAACAATTAAGTACAATATATTTCATGACAGACAGATAGGCTGTAGGACCAGGAATCTTAGACGCTATGTGCCAGACAAATTTACGAAGTACCGTTCAAGGAGGAGAGGCCAGCCAGGCTGATCGTTATGAGAAATACAACAAGGTTAAAACCTAGCGAGTAAATCATTAAACAGGTTGTGCATTCAGGTTATAAGTAGTGATGGCTGAAGATACCCTTAAATAAACAGACAAAACCAGACCTTACGGTAAGCGGCAGTGAACTTGCAAGAAGGGTGAATGTGTTACGTGACTAATTACTGTTACAGCGTTGGCAAATAGGATTCAAACAGAATTTCTGAAAGGTGAGACTATTAGTTTTCTTTCCAAAACATAACAACTCCACAGTGTGTAAACTAATCATTACTCTTTCAATGTAATTTCATAGAAACCACTTAAAATATACAATGCAGCAGATTCGTATTTTAGCGAATATGTTAGTTGTTATCTGTGCCATTTTCAGCTTTCTTTAACATGCTCCCCCACAGTAGTGTATTGTTCCTTCCAACCTGGGATGTTAAGAATGAGAACAGAATCTTCTACATCGTTATTTGCTGTAAGCAAGCATCTTAACGTGATTACATGTCTTTATTTTGGGTCTCTGTGTGTAGGTACAGTGAAGGCGGACTGTCGACGAAGATGGGCCATCATGTTTCCTGGCTTTCAGCAGGCTCATGGAAGAGGAAACCCTGGGAAAGCACATTTGAGCTCAGCCCGAGTTCATATGCCTCGTCCATCACAAAATAACTTTTGCTTGTTACTGCAAACCAAAGTGTGACCTTGCAGACGGCAGACACGCTGCTGAGGCAGCCGCAGGATAGGAAGCAAAAATTGCCCGGCAGATGTTTGAGAAAGGACACGAGTTAGGCAGAAGTGCGAAGTGTTACTGGGACTGATCCTGGCAGGGAGCTGCAGCTCCTCAGTCCTGCTTCTTTCCTGTGCTCTAGGACAGGAATTTAGTGCTATTATCCTCTACAAGTGTAGCTTCCTCTGACAACAATGGTGCACAAGAGGCCAAAGCCTTATCGAGACCCCAGAATTCCACCTATTCTGCCATGGAGCAGATGGCCAAACAGCTCTGCCCATCGCTGCTGCAGGTTGGTCACTGTTGCACCACCAGTCCTGGCAGGCTGTTGGGTAATTGGCAAGCCCACCTGTCACAGGGACCCCGGGGATGCTCACCTTAAAGACACCAGCATGCCACACACTGGAGCTGCTCCCCTTTCCCCTCCTAGCCTCCACCCTGTCCCCTTTCTAGGGTTTGCTGGTAACACCTGTAGGGATTAACAAGGGCAAACTTTCACAGTGACTCTTTTAACCACCTATCATTGGATCACAGAATCATAGAATGGTTTGGGTTGGAAGGGACCTTAAAGATCATCTAGTTCCAACCCCCCTGCCATGGGCAGGGACACCTTCCACTAGAGGATCGCTTCTGGTTTCACAGAGTATGTCGCCTTTTCTTTGTCATTCTGAAATATTTCAACTTGAGAAGTTGTGTTTGTCCACGCTGTTAATTTTACTTCTACTCACGCTAAAAGCAGGTGCCTGGTGTTTGAGCGGGTGGGGCAGCTGCGTTCCGCTTCAGAAGCGAACAACTCAACTCTGTGATTGCAGAAATACTGGTCACGATTAACAGGAGTTCCAGGTCATCTATGATTTTAAGGAGTGACTTTCTCTCTCTCTTTGGATTTGTGACCCTTAAGAATAAAAATCTAAAAACGCCCTTCCTGAACATAAAAACAGTACGCTGCACTTTTTCCTTCAGAGTCTAATAGGATAAAGTACTCGACTGCAGAAACAAAACTCTGCCATTCGGGTAACCCTGCCTTGCACTGTTCATCCGTCGTTGCCATCCACTGACCAGGGAACTTTCTCTACTCTATGAACTGGAAGGGTTTACCAAAACCACCAGGTTCCTGTAACTTGCCTTACATCCACTAATGTTAATGCTGGAATAGCAGCCTCCCTCCTCCGGCAGAGGGCAATTCAGAAGTCACTATCTAGCCCCCTTCTGAGCCCCTTACCCTCAATGTGAACAGACACGGCAGCGGCTCTGACTGTACCATGGGATACCAGTGTGCTCTAGGCAGGAAGAGGCACTCTTCCCCTGTGGCTCACAGCCCATAGCCTGCGCTGCCCGTAGTTAATGCCGCAGTGTTGTGCAATGGGTACTTGTTTCTGGAGAAAGAGAGAGACAAGTATCTGTAAAACTTACTTTTCAAGGGTGCCTAACCTATTCTTAGATGTTTTGCAGGTGCCTAGAGGACTACTGGGTACACCAAAAGTTATTTTGTGATAGACAGTAGATAATTCTCTCTTGAACTATGATATAGCAAGGGAGCTATAGAGCCAACACCGTGTTATGAATCAAACCTGCAAAACCAGGTATGTGGGAATGGTCTCTTTCATTCCTTTTCAAATGCTGCTGCACATTAACTCAGTTCCTTAAGGAATTACTTTTAATAATAATTAAAAAAAAAAATCTTAAGAAAGCTGGAGGGGTCACTGGAATAGAAAGGATAGCTCTTCCATCCATCACCTTTTATAGATATCCTCTAGCCACTTCTCATCATCTTCTTCCTCATCGTCTATTGGTTCCTCTGTTTCCAGGGGAGAAGGAATGAAGAACTCGGGTCTGGGACGTGGTTTCCTGATATGAGACTTCAGTCCAAACTTGCGCTTTAGCAGGTGGAACTGTTCTTTGACATAGTAATAAAACTCGTATTCATATCGCATGCGTTGGTAGAGGATCTGTATTGCTTCTGGAGAGGGGACGGTCTTCTTCACTGTCACAGTCAGATTGCCAAGTTTCCTATGTTCTGTTAAAAAAAAAAAAACAACAGACCACAAACAAAAAAACAAACAAAGCAATATGGTGGGTGCTGATTAATGAGACCAGACCTAAACTTTTTTTTTAGAAGGTTAAGGTATGGCCCTACTTCATTACTGATATAAATGACAAATGAGTTCAACTGGGCTCCTTAATACAGGATTTATTTTTAGCAAGAGATGAAAAAATACAGGTATTTGAAGTTGAACGTGCATCTTTAAACATGGCTAGTTCATACATGGCATTTAGCATTGCATAGAGTCACTGAGGATCTTAATTAGCAATGGTTATCTGCAAATACAAGTTAGGTCATACCAATTATGAGCATAAACTACACATACAGAAACCCATAATCTTGCCTAGCTTTGGACACTTTGCCTGATATGTGTGAAGTATACAGCCAGCACACAGCTGAGCTAGTCGATGATTTCCAATGTGACACACTGTGTCCTGTCCAGCTGTGCTTTATTACTGCTGAAATCTAAACAGATACCTACCAACCTGAATCCACCTCAGGCTTGCACCAAAGCATCGTTGGCATTACCACACGACACCTCAAGACTGAATGTGCCTGTTGACTTTCTCGGCCTGTTACACCTGTTAATTAAACTGGACTCATCTTCCTGTTGTGCCCCAGGACTGGAATATTTCAGCATGTTTCTCTTCATTGACAACTTTTGCTTTAGTAAACTGAAATAAAACACCTTTATTGCTGATAGAGAATTAGAGTTGCTAACAAAAATACTGGATTACCTCTTTGCCTACTCTCTCAATAGATCTACCACTGGAGATTAATGTATTTGAACAAAGTGTAAAGCAAACTCTCAAGGCAATAATTCTGCTGTTTTCTACCAGATGGCAACAGGCTGCCAGAGCATCCTAAGTATTTTCTTCTTCTCCAACACGGAAACGTAACTGAAAGTCAGCTGCGAAGAAAAGAACAGTAAAAGCTGGAAGTACTGAGCTGTAGCATCGTTGTATCACCCCTAACAGCTGCAACTTTCTTTAGGAGAAGTGGAGATGAATGTTGAACTGATGAAGCAACACCCTCTCTAAGTAATTATTAGGTATGCTGAAAGCCCAGTGCTCCAATGCAGTAAACTTCGTGTGATACTCCGACAGGATGTGATGCCCATGGAAATGACAGTGATAGCCTCAGAATACACCTGGGTCCAGACAGGGCAAGACGAATGGGCTTGCTTGGAAGCAAGGAGGTGCCGGTTAGACACTAGTAAAAAGCCTTTTTCGTAGCAAGGACAGTCAGGCAGCACAGTTACAAGAGCTGCCTCTCTGGAGGACTTTGAGAGCAGATGAAGTGATTGTCTCCTGAGGGAAGCCACTTGACGAGGTGACATCTTAAGGCCATTTTCCATGACTCTAAACCCCCCAGACTAATTTTAAACTTGTCAATCCTTATTTCACCTCCTTGCTCTTTGCTAGAAGAGCAAGGTCTCCATGATAACTGGTTTTTTTCTTGTTCCAGGATAATGTTGTGGCTTTTGCTGCTCATTCCTTAATATTTATATCCTCTATTTGTGATGCCTCAAATGCTCAACAGAAATCCTCATATTGTATGTGACTATATAGATAAACTGTGGCAGTGAAGAAGAGCTGGATTTTGCTATGGAGCCCTAATTCTTATTGTAACAGCAGTTCTGTAGGATGGCGGAATTTGAAAGGGTGGGCCCATGAAGCACAGCAAAGCAAAAACTTAGAAGGCGGCAGCAGCTCCCAAAGAACACTTCACGTTTCCAACTGGGTCCCAGCAGCAGCGACCACCCTCACTTCCAGAGGGAGTCCCTGAATCCAAACGGGATTTTATCAAGGGCAGAGTTTTGCTCCCGTGAGCAGTCCAGACCGAGGTCTTCTGGAGCACCTGCCAGCAAACCTAAGCACTTGCTCAACGGCACGACAGAGAAACTCGTTTTCACAATCACTGACACATAAGGCTAAGGGATGGATCAATGGTTCCTAATAGAAAAAACGAGTTGTTCTTGGGATTCCACAGGCAATACATTCATCCAAGAGAAATAATCAAGAGTAACTTCTTAGGGAAGAGAGGAATTTTAACCAAAGGCAACCCATTTATTTCAAGAGATAATAAATGAGCACGTCCAGCTAGCAACGATCTTCAGACAAAAAATATGTATCATAGAAAATTTTAAATCTTGAAAAGTACAACAGAGAGTGCTGTACAGAGAGTACAGTACAGCTATGGGAACATGAGCTGCTCTCTTCACATTTTAAATGATTAATGTTCATACAGCTTAGGGGATCCACACCTATAAACACATTCTAATTTTCAGACAACGGGCACACATTTTCCTACTTTAGAGTAAAGGAATTAAAGAAAAACAACAGAAAGCCATTCATTTTAACAGTACCACAGGAGAGAGCAAGTGTTGCTGGGGCTGGACTTTCTCATACTCATTTGACTTCACTGTGTCACACACATTGGTGCAGAAGAAAAAAAGTTGTATCTGAAAGCGGTACTCTCCCTCTCAGTTTTGCTTACCAATTACAGCAGAGTAATTTGAAACGTAAGAAGAATGTGATATGACAGAGAGTAAGTTGACTAGCTTACCAAACAGAATGCTGTTCTAAATCACCAAAAAAAAAAAAAGCATAAATTCTATTTTGCATTTGTACTTTTAATTCTTTCTGTAAAGGAAGAATGGTTTTCATTAGTTGGTAAAACTTAAAACATGCTGCTCTGTAATTAAATGGAGCATTTACACCAAACTTCATAGTTCTTTACACTGAACTCTGCCTCTATTCATGTATCTAAGTAATTAAACAACTTAGTACACAGAGTTCTTTGTTCTTTAACTACAGTGATGTATGGTGATACACGCTCTGCACTTACCGACTGGTCACACTTGAACTTATTGTATAGCTTTATTTAGACAGGAGTAAAACGATTAAAATACACAAAAACTGAATCAAGAATAAAGAAGCAATCTTTGACGTGCTGTCTACCTAAGAAAAAGCGTAGAGGAAGGACCATGAGGAAGGACTTGCATTTAAAATAGACGTTAGCATAGAAAGCACTGCCTGTCGCTAGCGAATGGGGTGAAATATTTTTGGTGAAAATATCTGGATTCCCCAAAAGCTTATTCTCTTCTACATCACGTTTTCCACCCAGACCGGAACAGACCAACAAACATCACATCTTTTTAAATTCTTACATGCTGCTATTGCTGGATGAGCACACTCCAGAAAGGACACTGCACTCAGTCTGTCCCTGGCTAAGAAGGCAACCGCTGCCTTACGATGATCGAGCACTTGACATTCCTGTTTCTGGTGCTTAGCTGGTAGCTCCCAGCAGCTCTGCAGTCTGGTTTTCTTTACAAACTCAGCAGCAAAAATACACTACTAAATCTTGCATTTATTAAGCTGAAGCCTTTATACTGCTTGCCAACTTCATTTTTATTTTACATTGGTTATTTCTGTTGCAGAAAACTCCCTTCACATGGCTGGAAAAAGCTCTTTACTGATACGGTCCCCTCAGGACTCGAAGCAGGAAAAGCCACTTCTTCAAGCTCCGGCTGCCTTTGGTGGCCGCTCCTCCCAGCAGAGAGAGGCACTTGTGTCTGGCCCAGGAGCGCTGCCAACCGTGACAAGGTGCAAAGCGCCGCACTGGTTTCTTGGGAGGGGGACAGAACCAGCCAAAGGGGAGAGTACTGGTGGTGTGCCAGGCAGGGAGCAGCCCGCAGGCACCCGCTCTGCCAAAGCGGGCCAGGTGCCCCACGCCACCCCCCCCGGCAGGAGAGCAGCGAAACACCCTCATCACCTCAATCTGCAGGAGCCATGACCCAGAGGATTCCTGCCTGTGCGCAATCCTTTGCTCTAGGCGCACACCCACGTGCACGGGCGTATACGCTCGTGCAGCTGGAAACACCCGCGCTCCGGATGGCTGCAGCAGCGGTGTGGGTTTCTCTGGCTGCTGCTGGTTCCCCTCGCAGTATAACCACCGGTAACCACAGCACGCAACGAGCCGCGAGGTGCTGGTGGTCAGGTGGGGCGAGCTGGGGCTGTGCTGGGCTGCAGGCTCAGCCGATGACAAAAAGAGTGAACCTCGCTTTATTTTTGCACTTGTGTTCTATTTAGACTGGTTTCTAATCCTAAACACTCTTAAAAGGCTCTCTAATACAAATATGAATGAAATCACAGAACTGCCCCTTGAAGTCACCTTACCCACCTCTCCTCATCATACAAGCAAAATGGAAAAATCCAGTAGATCTGGCTTAAAGCCAAACTCACAATCTGCATATGCTACATAAACCCAGCTGTGCCACCTAAGGACCCACGTTTTATGACCTCTGAGACAGCTAACCATATGGAGGGCAACAAACTACACCATTTACTTTTTAGGGTTGGTTTTTTTCTTCAAACAGTGTTTGCTTTGGCATTCTTTCAAGTCACTAAAAAGAATGTACTATGCAGTAACCCAACCTCCCAGCACAGCCTGCTCGTGCCTGGAATGGAGACTACATGGATACACAGATATGGATGAAGAAAATCAAATTCTTTTGAGTTACCAGCTGCTGAGTAGTTACCTTTTTTTCCTTTTTTGTTTTCCCTTTTTTTTTAAACTAAGAAATCAGCATTACTCGCTGCCGCAATCCAAACCATAGGTAAAAGCAGTTTCTATTACTTTGTGGCTCAAAAAACCAGGGATTGCCACATTTAGGCTAAATGACCCTAAAAGCATCCTCCACCTCAGAAGAGAATTTGGAGTGCCGCTTTCTCCAGCATCCCGGCGTTTCGGCGGGTGCGACGCAGAGGCTTGCTGCCCGCCCAGCCCTGCTCTGCGCGGGAAGGCCAGCACCCTAGGGGATCCGGCAGGGAGCGGCGAGCCAGGCTGGAGCCAGCACAGGGTGGCTGCAGGCGAGCATCCCCGCGGGCTCACCCGGCTAACGCTGGCGGTGGAGAAGCCCCGTGCCGAGCCGTGCTGCGTTAGGGCCGTGCGAACACGATGGCTGTCAC